CCCCCCCCCCCCCCCCCCATTGAAAAAATATGGTAAAATTGGGAAAATATAGCACTGTGGTAATTTCAGACCGAAAATAGTAATTTTTGAAACCGGATGTGGTAATTTGCCATGAAAAAACCTGGTCACACTGAAGAAGGGTTGGGCGTACAACTCCTCCACTCCCCACTGATGACTTGTAGAATTTAAATCAAACTTCACCTTACAGGTAAGTCTCGTTTAATTTTTAAATTCTTCTACGTCATCAGCTAGGGTCGTGTCAGAATTGTATGAGATTTCACAGGGAACAATGGAGTCAGGTTTTATGTTACAGAGTAACAACACAACAAAAATTAAGCGCAACAATTATTGTACATAATTCTATTAAACAGTAACTTTATACATAATAACAAAGGTGCCTTAATTACTTGCACTTAATTACTTGCAAAATAGCAGATCCCAGATTAAAGGGAGACCGAATAGGCTTATTATAAAAAGTTTGAAACGTGGTGGCATTAGACCAACCAACTGATTCAAGTATCTGAGTTATATCCCCTCATTTATGTGCAGCATATGACGTAGATGCAGATCGGGTACTATGACTTCCGAATTCTTTTGTGTTAATACCCGCAGAGGATAGTAATGTTTTGCACCAACGTGAGATGGTTTCGCGTGACACTCCATGGTGAGGCTTGGTGAAGCTGATCAAGAGCTTGTTGCACTGAGGGCTTCGTAATGTTTTTGTCCGTTCGAGATACTCCTTGAGGTGTGTTATAATGCACAGGGATGGTTCATCTGGATACGCTTCAAACATAATAGGTTCTATATGGTGTCCCACCCGCGGTTGTTTAACCTTTTCTCGAATAACAAATTCACATTTATCTATAGATAAATTCATGTTGTCCAGATTTAGAAGGTGGATTGTTTGACATCGCTGCCCGCTGAGAAGTAACAGTAGAAATGTTACTTGGATAGTAAGGTCTTTTAATGTCAGTTCGTGTACTATCGGTTGATTTCTCAAATGATTAAAAACAATATTAACATCCCAAATAGATTTGTATCGTGGGAAGGAAGGTCTTAGTTCGAAAATACCCTTCATGAAGCGTTTTACCAGAGGGTGTTGACCAAAAGGAATTGTGTTATTGTTAGTTTGACAAAGTGCAGACAGGGCACTGCGTGCAGAATTTATGGCTGAGTAAGACAAACCTGAATGAAATAGATCTGTTAGAAAATCCACAATTTTAGTGATTTGAGGGTCAAAAAAGTCACAATTTTAGGTACGACAAAATTGGCTCCATTTGTTAATGTATGTTTGATATTGAGATTTGGTCCCTTTTCTCCAAGATGCCATAATGATTACAGCTGATTTCTGTGAGACACCTATTGTGGTGAGTTGTTGCCTGATACAAGACATATTTTCAGTTCTAACTTTTTGGCAAGTGGATGTGACTCTGCTGGAGCAGCTGGAAGTTGAAGGAGTGTCTGCGATGGTGGGCAGACCTGAGGAGGTTGCATTAGAAGGGGTGCAATGAGAGGGTACCAGGGTTGTGTTGGCCAGTTTGGGATTACCAGGATGCCTGTGGCTTTTTCCTGTATAATCTTTTGAACTGTTTGCAAAATGCAGCTAAATGGGGGAAAACAGTAGAAATTTAGCGTGCTCCAAGAAATAGAGAAAGCGTCAATGTGCATTGCTTCTGGGTCAGGCCGATATGAGCAGTACTTGGGGAACTGTTTGTTTATGCGGGATGCAAATAAATCAATTTCTGGTTTAAAGGCAAATCTTTTTATTGCTGTTTGGAGGTGACATGGATTTAACATCCATTCAGCTTCACGATAAATATGGCGAAATTCTTTGTCGGCAATGATGTTATCTGACCCAGGTAAATGAGCTACGGTAAGTTTCAATTTGTTAGTCATGCAAAATTCCCAAATTTCAACGGCAATTCTATTCAGCACCTCATTGTGGCTAGTGCCCATGTTAGTAATTACAAACACTGCAGTACTGTTGTCCAGCATAAGTTTAACGTGTTTGCCTGTTAGTTTTGAGACAAATGATTTTAGGGCAAAATAAGCTGCTTTCATTTCAAGTACATTTATATGGAGTTCAGTCTCCTGTTGGCACCAGTTTCCACCTGTGGATTGTTCCCCCAGGGCTGCACCCCAACCTGAGTAAAGCACCATGTCAATTGGGGTTAGAAGAAAGTTTTTGTGAGAATTCTTTAGGTTTTTTAACCACCAATTTAATTCAGCCTTCCCTTGGTGGGAAATGGTCATGGAGGCCTCAAAATTACCCTTATGCGCCGATAAGGCTGTGCTTTTATCTTTTTCAAGACTACGGTAATATAACGGGCCAAATTCAACTGCTGGAAAACTGGCTACCATATGGCCAATGACCTGGACAACCATTCTGATTTTAATTCTATTTGCAGATGACAGAATGTTTGTAATAAGAACAGTTAGTTTGGCTATCTTTTCCTCGGTAAGGCGGATAGTCATTTCATGAGAATTTAGCAAAAAGCCAAGAAAGGTTATTTCTTGACAAGGAATAAACACCGATTTCGAAGAGTGAATGACAAACCCCAATTTTTCTAGTAGAATTAGTGTTTCAATGACAGTATTTACACACTGTTCATATGAATGACCAACCAAGAATAAGTCATCAATGTAAATGATGATAATGTGACCTTTCACACATAGGGTAGCTAAAACTGGTTTAAAGAGTTTTGTAAAGTTTCTTGGGCAGGATGAGAGGCCATTCGGGAAAACAGTGAATTTAAGTAAAGTACCTTTGTACGAAAATTTTAAAAACTTTTGAGAAGCAGGATGGATAGGTACACTATAGTACGCATCTTTCAAGTCCAGTGAGGCCATCCAACAATCTCTTGTGATGAGTTTAAGAGCTGTGTGAATATTATCCATTTTGAAATGGTAGTTCTCTACAGACTCATTGAGCTTCTTGAGATTTAAAATAAGTCGGATATTGCCATCCTTTTTAGGAGTGGTGAAAATAGGTGAAACAAATTCAATTAAGTCGGAGTCACAAGGGACAAT